TCACTGCTGCTCGGACGCTCAACACTCAATCCCCCGCAACATTCTCGAAACTAAAGGTCCCCACCTCCGCATTCAGCACGAAATGCCTGGCAAGCAGCCGAAGACCTCTTGCCATGGCCGTTGGCCAGCAGCAAAAGAGAGGCTATGAGGCTCATGCGTCGAAAAACAAGGGCGTGGTACGTTAGATCTGTCCTCCTTCCCATTTCTTCTTCCCCACGCTGAGATTCACCCGTCATCATGGTTGCTTGTATGCCTTGCTTTTCTCGAGTGGAAGAATGTTTTTCCGGAGGCATCGGGTGGGAAATGTGGGAAAAAGCACAAAACAAAACTGGATCGCTAACGTATTCAATTGGTGTTGACAGGACCCAAATGATTCCTTTCTACAAGGAAACAGTGCAAACTACATTGATGAGATGTACATGTCGTGGAAGCGTGATCCTTCCAGCGTGCACATCTCATGGCAGGTCTACTTCAGGAACATGGAGAGCGGAGATATGCCACCATCACAAGCTTTCCAGCCACCACCAACACTTGTTCCCACCCCAACCGGAGGCGTCCCGTCTTTTGTTCCAGGTGGAAACGTTGGTGGCAATACGGATGTCACAAACCATTTGAAGGTTCAATTGCTCGTCAGAGCATACCAAGTGAGAGGGCACCACAAGGCCAAGATCGATCCTCTCGGAATCAAGTCGACAGCAGATGCTAGGTTCGGATCTGCAAATCCCCGTGAACTCGACCTTGATCACTATGGTTTCACCGAGAAGGATTTGGATACGGAATACACTCTTGGCCCTGGAATTCTTCCCAGATTTGCCGTTGATGGAAGGGAAAAGATGACGCTACGTGAGATTGTTGCAACATGCGAGAAGATCTACTCCGGAACTTATGGTGTTGAATATGTTCACATTCCGGACCGTGAGCAGTGCGACTGGATCAGGGAAAGAGTTGAGATTCCAACTCCATACAAGTACTCCATCGATGAGAAGCGCAGAATTCTCGATCGCTTGATCTGGGCTTCGCTTTTCGAGTCTTTCCTCAGTCAAAAGTACCCCAACGACAAGAGATTCGGGTTGGAGGGTTGTGAGACTTTGGTGCCTGGAATGAAGGCATTGATCGATAGGTCTGTTGACTTTGGTATCAAGGAAATTGTCATTGGTATGCCACATCGTGGTCGTCTCAATGTTCTTTCCAACGTCGTCCGAAAGCCAAATGAATCTATTTTCTTCGAATTTGGTGGTAGTGCATCTCCTAGTGACGAAGGTTCTGGAGACGTCAAGTACCACTTGGGAATGAACTTTGAGCGCCCTACTCCATCTGGAGCAAGAGTCCAACTTTCTCTTGTGGCCAATCCCTCCCATTTAGAAGCAGAAGACCCCGTCGTGTTGGGCAAGACCCGCGCCATTCAACACTTCAACAATGACGAATCTAACCACGATACCGCCATGTCTATCCTCGTTCACGGAGATGCTGCTTTCGCAGCTCAAGGTGTTGTCTACGAGACCATGGGCTTCACATCCCTCCCCGCCTACTCTACTGGAGGAACTGTTCATCTCATTGTCAACAACCAGATTGGATTCACCACAGATCCCCGTTTCGCCAGATCTACCCCATACTGCTCCGACATCGCCAAGGTTACCGATTCGCCAATTTTCCACGTCAATGCCGACGATGTTGAAGGACTCACCTTCATCTCCCAGCTTGCTGCAGAATGGCGCGCAACCTTCAAGAAGGATGTTGTCATTGACATTGTCTGTTACCGAAAGTATGGACACAACGAGACTGATCAGCCAAGTTTCACACAACCATACATGTACAAGAAGATTGCCCAGCAAGACTCGCAGTTGAAGAAGTACATCCAGCAGCTACTTGATGAGGGCAGCTTCACCCAGGATGACATTGATGAGCACAAGAAATGGTGGGTTATTAAATTTCTCTTCCGTTCATATTCAAGTCAAGTTGGCTAACGTGTGATTGTCAAATTCAGGGTCTGGGGCATGCTTGAAGACAGCTTTGCCAAGTCCAAGGATTACCAGCCAACTTCCCGCGAATGGCTCACCAGCGCATGGAACGGTATGCATCCCTTCCTACTGAGAAGCATTATCATGTACTAATTTCTTTCAAAGGCTTCAAATCGCCCAAGGAATTGGCAACTGAGGTCCTTCCCCATCTCCCAACCGCATTGAGTCCTGAGCCAATCAAGCACATTGCAAACGCCATTTCATCATGGCCAGAGGGATTCAGTGTCCACAAGAATCTTCAGCGTATTCTTGCCAACAGGAAGAAGACTGTTGAGGAGGGCCAGAACATTGACTGGTCTACTGCTGAGGCCTTGGCCTTTGGCTCCCTTGTAAATGAGGGAAAGCACGTGAGGCTGTCTGGACAAGATGTTGAGAGAGGTACCTTCTCTCAGCGTCACGCCGTCTTGCACGATCAAGAGAACGAGAACACATACACCCCTCTCCAGCACATCTCCCCTGAGCAGGGACCTTTTGTTGTGTCCAACTCCTCTTTGAGTGAGTTTGGTGTTCTTGGTTTCGAGTATGGATACTCTCTCTCCTCCCCTGATGCTCTCGTCATCTGGGAAGCCCAGTTTGGTGATTTCGCCAACAACGCTCAGTGCATCATTGATCAGTTCATCGCATCCGGTGAATCGAAGTGGCTCCAGCGTTCCGGAATTGTTCTCTCCCTGCCCCACGGATACGATGGACAGGGACCAGAGCACTCTTCCGCAAGAATGGAGAGATTCTTGCAATTGTGCAACGAGGATCCAAGAATTTTCCCATCCCCAGAGAAGCTCGACAGACAGCACCAGGACTGCAACATGCAGGTTGCATACATGACCGAGCCAGCCAATCTTTTCCACATTTTGAGGAGACAGATGCACAGGCAATTCAGGAAGCGTAAGTCTTGAATAAATATAAGCTTTGTTGGGATTATTACTGACATTTGTGTAGCTCTCGTCCTTATTTTCTCCAAGGCTCTCCTCCGTCACCCAATGGCTCGTTCTTCCCTTGAGGACTTCACTGGTGAAAGCTCCTTCAAGTGGATCATCCCCGACCCAGAGCACGGAAAGACCATCAAGGCCCCTGAGCAGATCAGGAAGATGCTCATCTGCTCTGGACAAGTCTACACCGCCCTCCACAAGCACCGTGCCGCAAACAACGTTGACGACATTGCCATCACCCGTGTCGAGCAACTCCACCCATTCCCATACGCTCAACTCCGTGATACTCTTAACCAATACCCCAACTTGGAGGAGATCACCTGGACCCAGGAGGAGCCCCTCAACGCCGGTGCATGGAGCTTCGTCCAGCCAAGACTTGAGACCATCTTCAAGGAGACCAAGCACCACAACACCAAGCACGTCGTGTATGCTGGCCGCCCACCAAGTGCCAGTGTCGCTACTGGAGTCAAGTCTGGTCACATCAAGGAGGAGCAGGATCTTTTGAACGATGCTCTTGACATCAACAAGGCTTAAATAAATAAATAAAATAAAAACATCTCGGCCGACCTGTACTATGGAAAACTCTAAGCGGTTGGATTTGGTAGATTTTTAGAGGAAAGAAAGGGGGGGAGTTGTTGGAAGGGCATAAAATGCGAGTTATAGAGGGAGAAAAAAAAAGAAAAATGGAAGTTGGGTTTAAAGAGGTGGAATGTGGAATTTTCTTTCTTTCTTTCCTTTTCTTTCTTTTTGATGCTCAATTGGGTGCTGTGGTGACTGGAATAGGAATCACAATTGGGAGGAATTCGAAATACATAGCGGCGGCGGCGGGAGGGTACGGGACCGATAGCTACTTCGTTAATTTATTTTAGTGATGTTGCTGCCTCATTGATACATGTGGAGGGCCCGGTTGATTGGCATGGATTACTTTGCTTCTTTTTCTTGTACGATTTTTTTATTTTTTTTATTTTTCTTTCTTATTGTGCTTCATTCATGAGTCGAAATCTCTAATTGCGTGCATCTTTTTCTTTTTTCACTTCTTCTTCTTCTTCTATTCATATCGTTCTTATTCATATTTTCCCCCTTTCTTTGTTTCTTTTTTTCAAGCTTTGTGCTTATACCTTCTAACCTTTTATAACATTAAACTTACTCTTATCTTACTCTTACTCATTCATTCATTCAATTGTATATCGTTTGGCTCTGATTCTGATTCTGATTCTGATTCATCTCATGAGATCATGTGCATTTTTCTTATTTCTCTTTCCTTGTTCGAAACTCTACTCAATTGGAACATCATTTAAATTTGTATAATCAAATTTATAAAAAAGGAAGATAAATCTAGGTATGTAGCTAGCTGCGTTAACGTTTTATTGCGAATCCGAAGATATACAATAGCTATAGGGCATGGAAAGTGACCGGATCCGGACAGCGCTAATGAAATCTCATCACGCATACACCATTTACAATTTCAAGTATAGATCAAAAAAAAGCTTGTACATGTGCACGTGATGAATGTTAAAGAGGCTTCATGATCACAGAATTCGATCCCCCTATATATACTTTAGCTAATTATAACCTGCGTATTGAAGTGAGGTCCTTCCTTCTAAACGTTGAAAAATAAAAGGTCGGCGAACTGGATATTTTTGTCTGATTATAGACATTTATCGATATCAGTCAGGTCGAAAGAAAGTAAATTTAAAGTTACAAACAAAATCTACTTTGAATTTTTTTTTTTTTTTTTTTTTTGGTGTGGATTCGAAATAGAGATGATAGAGATGGGAGTCCGGATCGATATCGAGGTATATATCGATATCGGTAAGATGTGAAGTACAAGTACAAGTATACAAGTATACAAGTACAGGGTAAGAGTCCTCCTTGTCTAGATCCCGACATGTACAGGGCTCTTCCCATCTTGTCACCACCACCTGCCGTTACAGGGACATGACTACATGGGTACTTAACTCAGGGTAACCGCGACAGCTTCACGTGTACTGGTACCAGCCAAACCTGTATGGGTACATATAGTACAAGTAAACTCAAGCTCTCATAACAACCACCATCCGCACTGGTGTAACGGCTAGCATAACGCGCTTTCATTTCACAAACTGATCCGCGTAGACCGGGGTTCGACTCCCCGGTGCGGAACATTTTTTTGCCCTTTTTTTTTAAAAATTTTCCGCGAGTTCATTCTTTGTTTCATTTTGTGCATTCCGTTGTAGGTAATGTGCGAGATCAGGTAATGTGCGAATTGCTTAGTCTCATGCGAATTGCTCATCTGCAAGAAGAGAGAGAGAGGTGGGCTTATCGCTAATCTATTGCCAAGAGATGATTAGGTATTGTTGGGTGATGATGTCATTGTCTGCTGAGATTGAGATTGCAACGGAATCAATTAATTCTGCTAGAGTGCCTTTCCAATCTCGTTGACATCTCTCCCAAGAAGTCTGCTACTAGCTATAGCTTTATATGGATTGGATTGAAAGAAATCATACGTTAGTCTAGTGCACAGCCCCTCTTCGCAGAATACAGCGGTCATACATGATGATCAGACCTGTGTCAGTTGTGATGCATCATGATCAAATGTTTTACGGAGCCTCCGTGCCTGTAATCAGAGATATCGATATTCGAATTCAGAAAGAATTAAAACATCTGTATAGTTTTTGGGGTTTACTATCACTCGAATGACTCCCTCTACAAGTCTCCTCGCTCGGTTATATCCCATACCAAGGGGGCCGGGTTCTCTGGGAACGAGAACTTGGATTCGAGCTCGAGCTCTAGAATTTCGAATTTTGATCAATTTCAATATGCCTTTATTCTAGGCAGTTGAGGTCAAACTTGCAATTGGGGGGGGGGTACGTACCGAGATAACCGAGAACCTCAACCTCTCCAAATCCAATACCTAACGCACGAGAACAACCTAAAAGGCTGTACAATATCATTAATATATTGATGTAGCCTAATTATTTCCATACATGTACATATATATGGCTTGGCTCGGAATCCGGAATCCGTGGGTATATATTAGCCTCGGTATATATGAATCCAATATAAAAGTATACATGCTGATGACATGTATCTATAGAGCTCGAGTACACCCTGGCCTTGCTACAATATATGCTCCTTAGCTAGCTTCCATCGACGTCAAAACTAAGTATGTACTCACATAAATTAACGTATACCCAGCCCACCACATAGCCCACATAGACACGCATGTATGTACTCTAAGCGTTTCCTTTCAAGGATCAATATCTTCCTTTCAATAATAGATTTTTGTAGCCGGCTTGGTACTATATGCAAGTGATTAGTACAAATTCCAAGACTTCCAGATCTCCAACAAAAGCCAAAGTCGAGCTGAAAAGGAAAAATGGAAAAGGCTGTAATCCTTGTCACAATGCAGACCAAGCGTTTTGCTACTTCCCGTTTGAGTAAGTGCTGGGATGGGGAAGTGAGGTTAGGCACATGTACATGTATCTCATGCTTGGCCGACTTTATAAGTAGATACTAGTACTACCTAATCTGTAGACTCGATTGAGATGCCTTTTTTTTCTGTAATTGAGTAGATTCCGCATCTGTTGCTTTTTATAATCTGGGCAGAGATGGAGGACGCGCGTACAAACTGAACGAGGATTCTCATGTTTTTCTTGGCTAGGTTGATGGATATCGGTATGCATATGTAATGGTATAACGGGAATTGATTGTATTCTTGATGTGGTGTTGATGCTGTCTGAAATCCGATTGGTTGCCCAATTTCAAGACCATGAAGCAAATGTTCATTGAGAGTTGGGAATTCTTGGGCAGTGGGTGGATGGACGTGATCATGAGTTGATTGGGATAAAGCTTTCATCTAACATAAAAAAAAGCATTAGTGTCAAGCCTTTATGTATAAATGCATTGAAAAGTGGGGGTTCAGTACCGTGAAGACGGGCCATTTTTTTTAATTTTTTTAATTTTTTAAATTCAATTTCCGTGAAGACGGGACATGCATGTGAGAATTTCTCCCCTATAGCTAGGGAAGCACAGGTGGATACTAGCTACAGACATCCAGTGGAAAATGCCAAGCTAAACCATGTTTGCTACCAATAAGTGACTGTTTTTGGACGAGACTATGTTTTTGGTAGGCTAGTCTTTTGACGGCGAGAAGGTAAATCTGCATGTAGAAAATCTCGCCCAGGCGCCTGAGGTAGCCTGTTTGTCGCCCGAGGTATGTATTATATTCCCCCCATAAGCAAGAGGGTATATATATGAGAGCGAGGCCAAATAAACAGAAAAGCAACGATGGTTGTTGAAAATAGTTTAATCGTATACTCGAGCACTATAGGGATAAGTAGTTGTAACTGGTACTCCGGTACCTATATCCATCTGCTATAAGGTCTAACCAGGAATGGTAGCAGGTCGTGTGGCTTGCAAGGTTTTTTAGAATACTATTTATTTTTCTGGTCTGGAGAGGTCAGTGGAGGACAGAAGGAGATAAAATCAATTTGATTCGACAGTGCACTGGATGAAAGTAAAAGTAAGTGATTAATGTACGTGGCATATGACGTGCATGAAGAGCGTAAGCACTACTTACGTTTGACGTTTTCGGTTGCTGCTGCTTCGACAGACCCATCTCCAGCATTCTCGTACCCATAACCTCTTCGAGGCATGCCTCTCCAGGCCGTCGAGGAGGAAACTGTGGCTCTGGGATTGGTCTGACTTGTGCGGACTGGCTTGTGAGCAGCATGTATTAGGAGCCATAGCCGCCTAAGCTATCTGGCGTTGAGATCAAAAGAGCGCGGACTTGTGCCTAGTGAAAGAAGAAGATATCGTGGTCTGTGATCGAGGAATAAACTGGAGTGCAGCCCATGGACATCTCGTCTGTCTCGTCGTTTAGTCCTCGTCGTTACATCCTAAGCTAGGCCTAAGCTAGGCCTATCTGGGTAGTGGGGCCTCAGAGTTGGCCTAGCTGCCCTACCTAGCAGTTGTCCTTAAGTCGATTCCCCTCTGGGCTGGGGCAGCCAAGAAGGATTTCAAGGGCATGGGAATACCTGCTCGACTTCCAGACATCCTCGAACTTGGAGGCCCATTTCCTGGGCACGAGACTACATTTCCTCGACCTCAAGACCCCGGTACCATAACCCCCAACCGTGGTGATCGGCTTGCACCCACTCCTATAACTAAACTTTGGAACTGTCGTATACCGCGGCGAGAAATTATTACTTGGTATGTTCCGGCATTCCCATTGGAAAAAGCGGAGAGATAGTAACATGTGTTACTGACCTTTAGAACTTTTCATATCCAGACCGAATTTATCAATATTTGCACACACTCTATCGGCAAGACTAATCGGAGTGGGCCGTTGGGATATCGCATTCATCATGTCGTCAACCGAGCATCTTCACCCACAACCTTGGCCGTGACACAACTGTTGCAGACGGCCATTGCCGATCCTGAGAAATGAGTGGATGGTTCAGCTGCAGAGGCTGAAGTGCAGATAAATTCTGGCCTTCCAACGTACTTTTCTCATGCCTGTCGGACTTCTGGTTCCCAGCCCATTGGATCTGACGAGAACATAGGAACTGCACCATGCGCTATGTCTGAGGTTTACTTTATTCTCACCTCGTGGCCAAATGTGCAGCTGCAAAGCAGTGAAAGCCTAGCCTCGTGGGTGAAAGCCAGCCAGCGAAGGCCCCGCACCACCCACATCTTGGCTGGAGGTGAGAAGGGTGGTCACGTGTGGGAATTGGTTGGAGCTCAGTAGCAGCCAGTAAAAGTATGACCCTCATGATGCTGAATTGGTATTCCGCTAATTATGGACTCCTCGCTAGGGCTAAAACAACTTAATCGAACTTGATATCAATCATCACCACACCATCGTTTAATTCACGATCCGGGGTGCGAGGGATGGAGTTTCCCCTTCTACTCTACCAACTCAAAAGACATCGCAACTAAATAATATCAATTCTTCTCCTTCCTGCCCGGCACAATGCACCGCAAGCGTACTCTACTCTACATGGGGGGACGAGAACAGCATGGGGGGCCAACCCAAGCTTTCGAGATGTCATTTTTTCTCTTGCACTGCCTCCTTCCGCGGGCACAAATACTGGGTGAAAAATACTTGGCTGCGTTATGCAAGACAAACAGCTATATAGCTTGGCAGGCACCTACCTGGTCATACTAACGTTAGGCACTCTATTTGCACGAGTTGACTCAACCAACTACAGAGTACTGGCTCAAAGCCCTGAGAAAATCCGGCGTAGACACCTGAGATACTTTGCAAATGTTATTGCTACCTACGAGTGACGAGATCTAAAACAGACAGAGTTCATAGTCACTTGAATTACACATTTTCGTTTATCGTTTGTTTACCAGTTTGCGCATTATCGATCTGATCTGACTTTGGGCATGCATGGCTATTGAGGATACCTGGGTGTCCACTCACTGGAATTTCCCTTTGCGTTTTCGGCTATGCTAACAATACTAAACTTTACTCTTGAGCCCCGCTGATCATCTGCAGCCTTTTGTTTGCTTTTTCCGTGGATTTTTTAAGCAAGTGGGTCAACAACAGTTTGGCACTCAACGACTGGCTGTAGCTTCCATCTATTATCCATTGGACATATTCGCACGTTGCCTTGAACCGCCTGGCCGATATATGGCCTACTTAGAGTAGCTCGCGGGAAAACACTGGCGAAGGAGAAAGCTAGGGATAGAAGCCACTTGGAGCTTGTCGCTCTGCCGAGTCGATCCCGCCTCTGGTCCACCCGCCAGCCAGGCCCACCGCCAGGAGAGATATCACGGCTCCTCCCAGCTGAAGGTCTGGATAACGTCTCCAACCTGCCGTGCGCTCGCTCTCCCCGACCCATCTGCAGACGAAATAGAGCCCCATCTCCTGCATTTCCAGCGCCGTGGCAGCTACCGAGACCAGAAGCGCCGTCGTGTACACGGACCGCTCCGCATCACCACCATCACCATCAGCATCCCAACGGCCGCCCGCCCGTTGGCCCGCCTCCTGGAGCAGCTCTGCCCGTAGGAGATTGCCCGAGCGCCCGCCCTCTGCCCACCAAGCTGCGCTGCCGTGTGCGACCCGGAGCCCAGCGCGCAAACAGGCTTGCAGGCGCATCTCGTCCCGCAGCAGCCTGAAGGTCCCCACGCAGCAAGCTCCCAGCGGCAGT